GGCTTGTAATCCAGCAGAAACAGGAAGAAGCCTCAAGTTCTCTGGGCATTCAGTCTTTCAGTCTAGCTTACTAGGTGAGCTACATGGCTTCCAAGATGCTGTCTCAACAAATGTTGTTGAGAACAATTAAGGATACTTTACATTGCCTCCTGGCCTATACACGAACACGAACAGGAGTGAGCATGCACACATACACCACACGCATTCCCTCACAAGAATCTACACCTATAAAGTAATTGATCATGCTAAGTATTTGCATGTGGAAAAACCAAAATAGTCTGAAGATACATTGCAGAGGTTTTTCACTTGCTGTGAAAAAGAAGCACACTTTTTTGTAGAAATATTTAATAGAAATGGGTCCAGAGGAGCCTTTTTGAACACTCTCAGAACTTTTGTCTCTAAACACCACAGGTTGGACTGGGGGTGGTAAGGCCCTCTGTGCTGGACTATTTGAAGCCATTTATCACACGCCATTTCTTCAAGCAAGACTGGAATCGTCAACGTGTAAATGGTCATTTGGATCCTATTATCTGAGAGACTGTATAACAGAGACTGTTAACAGAGCAGAGAAGCCCTGACAGGGACATCAAGACCACGTAGCCTTTCTTTTAAAGCACAAGGCGACTTGCCTTACAGTCTCTATGCTCTGTATCATGGGATAAAGAAATTGCATGATTTTAAAACAGAGGTAATTGTGGCATACCCCATGAAGAGAGACAAAAGATTAGCAAAGGGAGGATGTGCGGGGAGGATTTTTGTCCTTTCTGAATTTGGCTGAATGCTGGCCCCAGGTGAACATCATAGTCTGGAGTGACTTTGAAAATGAAATTCTGTCTTGTTTTATTTCACTAAAACTTGCCTAACTATTCAAAATGCATGAAGGCAGAGTGATCAGGAATAACTCAATTGCAAACATGTCCTTAAATATTGGTGTGAGGAGTTCAGAGTCTGTGCACAGTGTTTTGCGGGGCAGGATTGCAATCATCAGTATACCTATCTTTACTCACAACCTTGTCTTAATCCATCCCAAACTGCCTTAGCCTTTTATACACACTCTGTAAAACAACAGAATCTAACAGTAGCTGCAAAAATATCTTTTTACAAAGAATTTGGCTTTCAATCATATTAAATACTTTAAACCTTTACGATCTTCTCCTTACTTCAGATGTTGCTCTGACATTCATTCTTGCTAATGTGTGGATTCTACCACTTCTATTCATGCGATGTGCTTTTATAATATAATGGAATCAGCAATAGCATATCAACCAAAATTATCTGAAGGATGCCGCTTCTCAGGATGCAGGGTCTCAGCAGCATAATATTAAAGACAGATTGAAATACTGCTTCCCATGGTAAGGAAACACAACGAATTGAAATTCTAATCAGAATATCAAAGCAAGTATATGTTACCAAGATCTTCTGACATGCTCACAATAAAAAGTATTGGATACCACATTCTAATCTCCATTTTTACATAATCATTTTAATAGTCAACAAGTAGCTGGCTTCAATGTGGACAATTGAAGAGAGCTTAAAATATAGCGTGCCAGGAGTGTGTCAACACGCTGAATAATTTCCTACAAAATTGACCATGTCAAAGAAAAAAAAAAGTTTGTAAGTGTCTTTCAATAGACCACAATAAAAGAAAAGAAAGCCATTGCCACTTACCAACCCTGCAACCATCTTTAATAATCCAAATATCTGCATTCTAGGGTATCACTTCCTTATCCAACAGCACAATAGAATAATATTAGGGGCAAGGGGATCATATCTTGCATTTTTATTAAATTTCCTCAAAACTCTCTAGTTAGATTTATTTAGGAATTTGTCTCTAAGATTGGCAACATTTTGATGATTTCTGCATATAAGTTAGAAAGGACGGAGCATCCGCACAACATCAGAGGCTAAGAAAAGTTCTTGCTGGTTTGCAAAGGAACAAATTCTTTTCATCTCTCAGGTTTATTACTTCAGAATATTTCCAAATACAATACCCTTAAACAATGAAAGACGTTTTCAAGTGAGCCCTCCTCCCAGAAATAACCGTCAGTGAAATCAGGAGAAAACTTTTGCTTCGAACGTAAATGTTTGTTCATGAATCAGAAAATTGACCTGATTTTATCCAATCTGATACATTAAAGTTAGGGGAAACACTCCATTCCTGTGACAGACATTATCGTTTTATATGCTAAAACCTTCATGCGTCTTGGTGGCTATTTTGTCAGGTCGTGTTCGAGAACCTTCTTATGGCTCTTTACAAAATGCCTTAGCGTATTTTTCACACGGAAACTTAAAAGGCTGTTTCCTATTGCTATTGTTATTAGCGGCCTTTTTCACTTATTAACTAAGTTCTGAATAGAGCATCTTGGCATGTAGCTATCAGCTAGTGGTCTCATGCGTGTTACCTCCGTCACTTTTAGAAGCACTTTCAAGCTACAACTTTCCGTGCTCCCGTCTTTAACCATTTAGTCTAAAATCATAACCGAAGATACTAGCATAATACTTCTGTAACAGAACTTTGAATCTGTCCGTCGCAGATATGAAAAAAAAAACCACCAAAACAACACTTTTTTACCCTTAAAGGAAACGAGCTGATGTTTGAGTTTACAGATGAGATCTGTACATTTTGTAGACATATTTACACATTCCTACCAGCAACGCTTTCAAGTTTTTAATCTGCAGAAGGAAGTTAAAATTGCATACCTTTTCTCCATGATGTCTTGCTATTAAAGCTGGTATCGACTCCTGTTAATGACTCTTTCCACAAAACGGAAAAGAGCAAAGTCACGTGTCCTATGAGGAGGCCTGTGCTGGTTGCTGCTTAATCTCAGTACTGAAGGGGGAAAAAAAAGGCGGGGGCAAAGGGTGAGCATAGACCTTAAAAAACAACCCACTTCCTGGGTACATGCCGCTAACCACACATTATTTGATTTAGGGCTTGACTTGCTCAGCCAGCCAACAATATTATTATTTATCAATGATAAAATATCAAGTATTGTATATCTATATGGGCTACATCAGGTTTAATGTGCAGGGGAAAATGTTATTAAAATTTTACCCACTGGTTTGGGTGGGGTGAGGGGAGGAACTGGCTGTCAAGAACAGTAGAAACTTCCTCTTTCTGTCTTCTAGTAAGGCCCTAAAAACAGTCTCTCCTGGGTTAACTTACGCATGTTCAGGCTAACAGAAGGCACTACGTACCCACCAGGAAGCCAAGAGGTCACCCCTGACTTAGTGTGGGTGCTTTTCTCACTCGTTGCTAGACATACAAAAACCAATTGGGGGTAACAAGGGTGCAGGGCTGTAGGCGGAGATGGCACCAGAACCTCAGAGCACACAGTCCAGAGCCTGCAGGTACTCCAGCAGAGTAAGTAGCTGAGGGTACTTGCTGCAGCCCTGTGAATGGATGAGGTTTCACCCTTGCATGTTCTCTATTTCCCAAGCTGTTTTGACATGTAGTGAAGAGAATTTGCCCAAGCTGCGCAATCCTTTGGTCTAACGTAACAGAAAAGACAAAATAAGTGGTCCAAGAGCTGTCCTTTGGTCAAGCTGCTGTCCCTCAGCTTTCCAGAGCATACAGTAACGGGTCTCAATAACAGTCATAATAGGTGCATATGTATTGGGCTCCAGAGATCAGAAAAATCTGATGCTGAGTTACCAGGCTTGGTTAGCTCTTTGAGAATCTGCAGGATAGTCACAAAAGGGAACCCATGCCTTCCAAATATGTGAGAAAATCAATTAGAGTCTACTATTGTCGCACGAATTGAGTAAGACCTCAGTGGAGTACAGTGGTATGGACTACTTTACGATGCTGTTCAATTCACAGTCAGACCCCCTTCCTGGGTGGACCTGCTTAGGCATAGAGGTCCTAAGGGATTGATGGGTATTTGCTTTTGGCATCAAGGAGAAAGTGGGAAGAATGACGATAGAAGTGAGGAAAGCTGAATTCAGTGACCAGGTCTGATACTGCTGCTTAGCCTTGGCCACGCCATTTACAGCCCCTAAAATCCATATAGTGGAACACGCAGCTATGGAAATTCTACTTTTGAGAGCAGAATAAGTAGATTTAACTAATTTTTATATCTTAAAAAATTGTAGTCACTGTTTGATTGCTGTGAAAGAAATCAAAGCCAAGGCAGCTCCTATAAACGAAAGAATTTAAATGGGGGCTTGCTTACAGTTTCAGAGGGTTGTTGGTCCATTATCATCATGGCAGGAAGCAGACAGGCATGGCAAAGAGGCAGTGGCTGAGAGCTACATCCTGGTCCATAACCACCAACAGCAACAGCAAAGACAGAGAGAGAAAAATAGAGACAGAGACAGAAAGACAGAGAACAGAGAGACAAACAGAGAGGCAGAGACAGAGACAGTGAGAGACAGAAAAACAGAGAGAGACAAAGACAGAGATAGAGAGACAGATACAGATACCGAGAGAGACTGGGCCTAGTGTGGGCTTTGAAACCTTGAATCCCACTCCCAGTGACACACTTCATGCAACAAGGCTATGCCTCCCAATCCTTCCCAAACAGGTCTACCAACTGAGGACCAAATATTCAAATATATGAACCTATGGGCTTCCCAGAAATTCAATACATTTATCTGAAGCCTTGGTAAAATCTAGATGGACTCAGAAATTAAGGATGAGCTGTGTTAATTAGGTGTTTCCTTAAAAACAAGTATTAATAAAATACATTAAATGGGGTCAATGGTACATTTTCTTTTCACAAGGCCTTGTCCTGGAGTGATGGCTACTCATCACGATTATGGCTCTCGGGCCTGTGCTGGCACATATTGGTGGACAGGTTCATCCACTCACAGAGGGGATACTTGGTGAAGGCTTGCAGTAAGCTACACATTGGGGAAACAGTTCACGATCCTTCTACCCTGGGTTTGAATCCTCCCAACTGCTTCTCGAGTCAGACAACATTAATTTGTGATTTTTACACCTAAGGAAAATGGGATTCCTTTGTGAGCCAAATCAGTAGAGAGGAAGCAGGAGTCAAACTCTGAGACTCTGACCTTGGAGGCTGTTCCAACTGAGCAGACCAATTTGGATACACTCACTCCACAGCAAAGCCCTGAGTGAAGAGATACTGGATACTGAAGTCCCCCTTTCAGAACTTCCTTTAGTCTCTCTACTGCTGAGGATGACGGACTTGGAAGTTAGGAGTCATTTCCGGGAGGAGCATTGAAGCCAATTTCCCAGAATGTTCTCTACAAGTTAAATGCATATCAAGTAAATGAAATGAAGTTCACTATAAGCTCTGTGTTCATAGATGCAAAGCAGTGGCTTGGCATCAGCCTGCCCAGGTCAGTCTACAAATAGACTCAACACAGTGCTAATTATAATTGTAGCGCTAACTTTTGAAGAAAGTCACTAGCAACTTCTAGAATTTCTGTGGAAGTATGAGTATCTAAAGTGTTTGAGTTCATTTTGGAATAAGAACAAAAAGTCAGATGACTTGATCTGCTAGATACTATCATTAATATATATATATAGCTATGTTTTTGTTGCACGTTAATATATACAATTATATATATATATGCAAAATAAAATTGGACACAGTAGTGTACAATCTCAGCACTTAGGAGCTAGAGGTAAGAGGATCGTGAAATTGAGGGTAGCTGAGGCAACACAACAAGACCCTGTTGAAAGAAGCAAGGGAAGATAGCTGTCCTGGTTTCATTCTACTGCTGCGNTATATATATATATGCAAAATAAAATTGGACACAGTAGTGTACAATCTCAGCACTTAGGAGCTAGAGGTAAGAAAAACTGGCAGCTAAAGTCTGGCCTGAGCTAAATATTGAGTTTGAGGTCAGCCTGAGTTACACAAGACCCTCTTACAAAGAATGAACAATCAATATTTTAATACCTAAATCAATGTTATTAGTTTATCATAGCATTGTATACAATAATTATTATTAAAAAAAACTACACTTTGAGAGTAAATGCTAATGCTGACACAGTGAAGTAACAAACCTGCTTTACTTTTTTAGAGGCTATCTTTCCATTGCCATGCAAAAGAGCACATGTATATAGATTGGACAAAATAATTAATCATTTCTATTACAGATATAACATGGAGATAGATGACTGGAAAAGAAAAGCCTGGTAGAAATAGACATATTTCCGGAAGATTTATATAAACCAATAGAAAAACCTCTAGGCAGGCTAATTTGGATGAAAGGACAATGGAATCACATGAGGTACTTGTGAAATTTGTAAATGCTCGAAAATGGCCTACACTGGAGAGACTGCGATCGGGCCATTCTAATAATAAATCTAAAAAACGAAAGCAAAATAAAGTACACTCAAGCAGTTGACTCCAACACCCTGGCTCTGGTCAACAATGGTCTAGAAAATTGCTGCTATAGAGTGGTGGCATCCATGATGGTGGGATAGAGATGTTGCAGACTGGGAGGAATTTTCTGTTCAGCATGCTTGAGAAACTGTATGGAGTTCTGTGAGACTCTGGTGAGCGCTAAAGGATGAACCAAGAGATGACAGTCACCCACAGCAGAGATGATTGGGTGATGGATCAAGTTGGAGAATCAACTGAAGACAATGGTTAAACTCTGGAAGGTGTTTGAAAATCGACTCGCCTGTGTTTTGTTACGAGCAGCAAAATATACATCAAATGTGGATAAGACAGAGATGGCTTCAAAGGAACCTAACAGGTGCACCATAACAGGGAGGCTACACAGAGTGCTATTGATATGAAAATAAAAGACTGGGGGAAAAAGTGAGCTAGCAATATCTATTTGGAAGTCAGAAATATTTAGCATTTACTTGTGTAAGACTGTATGTGCAAGCATAGAGTGATCACAGAGAAGAGAAAGGTCATGGGAGGACTCTCAGTATGCAGTCAAAAGATTATGAAAGATTGTGAAAGAAGAAAAATCAAGAAATTCTAAAACAGAATAAGGAAGAGGAGGAGACTTGGTATCTTGAAAAATCAAATCAAGCGCCAGGCAGTGGTGGCACATGACTTTAATTCCTGAACTCAAGAGGCAGAGACAGGGGGATCTCTGTGAGTCTGAGGGCAACTTGGTCTACGGGGCAAGTTCCAAGACAGAATCCAAAGCTACACAGAGAAACGCTTTCTTAAAAAAGAAGAAGAAGGAGGAGGAGGAGGAGGAGGAGGAGGAGGAGGAGGAGGAGGAGAAAAAGAAGGAAGGAGAAGAGGAAGAAGAAGGAAAGAAAGAAAAGAAAAATCAAATCAAAATGTTTCTTTTCAAGCTAACGGTTCAGAATTAAATGGAAATGGTCAAATTTCCAATAGATAGGCAATGGTGGAGGTCATTGTGACCTTGATAAAAGTAGCTCTTGTTGGATATATGGGGAAGAAATCTTATTATACAGGACTGGTATGCTGACTCGGGAGGTAGAGGAACTTACTGCCAATTCTGATGACCTGTGCCTGACCCCTGGTATGTACACAGTGAAAAGAGAGAATCAAGTCTTAACAGATATCCTCTGACCAAGACACATGCATTTTAGTGCAAACACACACACACACACACACACACACACACACACGTAATTTGGAAAAGACTTTAGTACATTAAAAAAACAGGAGGTATAGCTATGGTCAAGGAGCTCTTATGTGACAGGAAAAGTTAGAAGTGGAGGGCGGTAGTGTGGTACCCAAGAAAGAAATGCAGCCATGGGACTTCCTTTATATGGTTGTTTTGTTTTTGTTTTGTTTTTCAGAACGGGAAAAGAACACATGGATTTGGAGGATGAGTCTTTAGAGGGAAAAAGCGATGATATGGGAAGAAAAAGCAGAAAGGATTGTGGGAAATATCC